TTGGGGAGGCATGAGGGTTGTGGTGGATTGGTATGGATTTGCACTTTGATTGTCACTTGGAGACTGTTTTGAATTGTTCGTGTGAACTTCTGTGAAGGATATATGGACGTAGGTTTCTAGCATCAATTCTAATGTTAGTCGATCACTTAGCTGCAGATGGCTTTGCCATTTGAGCTTGTTAAGTAGATGTTGATTTCGCATTTTACTAACAATGTGTAAATTTATGTTTCTGGAATGTTGATCGTTTGAGATATACTAATCACAACGCGTGCTAAACCTAAACCAAGAGGTTAGCACACAATTTAAGCACTTTCCGGATAATTATCCGAAAAATAGTCTTAGCTTCAAAGATACGCCGTTATAAGGCCGTATCAGATAACGCACTAAGTAACTCGGCTTAACAAGTTACTTAAGGCAAGTACGTAGCCTTACGAATATATATCCGTTCATACATGTCACTCATACATCGACTCGTACATGGCTAGAAACACTCCTGTAGTTGAAAGTCTCGCTTGCTAAACCCGGCGACAACATAAGCTATACAGGTATAATTGGTGTCGAAATCTCAATAGTTCATGTCGGTGGTACCTCCGTGAGTTAGAAAATGAATGTCGACGACTGATCCACCTGTTTGAGGTATACGCAACTTGCTGTACAAACCATATGAGTCCGAAAGTTGAACATCTCCACCCACAAGTCGCGCTACTGTCCCACTGTTCAGCTTCAAAAAGTCGGTAAGTAACGCTGCTAGCTCTAGATTGTCGTTTAGTCCGGCATAGAGGACTTTTTGATTTATTGCCGTGACTGGCACTTTGAGAATTCCTTTCAAACACGAAATCCGGTTGCTACTGGATGGGCTGATAGTGGTAGTAACTTCAAGACCATTGGTTTCTAAGGTATGGGAGGTTGTAGTGAACTGGGAATACTAGTCGCCATGCATTGTTTGGCATGGAGTGCACTGGATAACGCTGAAGAGAGCAGGAGATAACAGCCGTAAGTTAGGATGATTGAAAAGAACAGTCTTCAAGCCCTGCCCAAAAGTAGGTGAAAAAATGCGTGAATCTTTTGAAACATTCAGATCATGTCAAGAGAGTGGGAAAATCGTTTCCTCGATAGAGAAAGAAATACGGAGGGCCGAGTCCTCGAGGTTTATATTACGCCAGCGTAAGCCAATAATCAAACAACACCTCGGAAAAAAGCATATACAGGTAAAAATCGCAACAACCTAACTCTCATTCATAGACGCAAAAGCTTAGGGCGTCATTTTATTAAATGTTGCTTGGAATTCTATGCACAAACAGAAAAGAGTTCCCAATCAGCCTAGCGCGTTAACCTCTACTTTGTTTGATATAGGGTCCAAAGACGTATTATACTGCCGTCAGATTCTCCGCCGTCGGAATAGAATTTTGATTTTAATTAATAGAAATAAATTAACTTGTCGGGCAAAATACGTTCCCCCCCAACTAACGGATAGAGTACAGCTAGATATTTGAGTTAGATTGTATTCGAAGAATGAAAATCGTGATTGCTCGGGTGCGATCACGCCGTATAGGTAATAGATCGGAATTAGTATCAGCCGTTGAGTGAAATTGAGGACTGCACAGATCACCGGTTCTCACATAACTTCAAAATCTTACATTTAGTTCGACTAGAAAACGTTTGTTTTGAGCTTAACTACTAATTACGATTTTACGAATTCCACTCTTAAAAGGCTTTTCAATCTAATTTGACACGACTGGTTTTTTTTCACTAAATGCAGAATGCAAAATCACAACTTCTGAGGTGTATTTTCGGAATCTTGCGTCTATCCTCAAGATGCCTCACTTTTGTAGTAGCTCATCACGAGCCCGATATCTTAAAAAATATCTTTCTGCCGTGATTCAGAAATCACTTTTTAACTCCTCATCTTCACGAAATGAGAGCTCCGTGAATGTGGGCGATGGGACATCGGTGTTTTTTCTGTGATTGGAAATTGGAAATCGGAAATCTCTGTTGAGTTGATGGGAACTTGATTTTTTGAGTACAGCCGGTAGTGAAGAGGTTTGAAAACTGAAGATGATGCATTGGGAATTGTTAGAATGTTGTCGATCTATAGTTGAAAAACTCACCAGATATGTATTTATTACATTACAGTTAGAATTCCTTTCCCTCCAAATCTTGCCAGACGTCCAGTCTCATCCCTCGTCTTCCCTTTCCCTAATCCCCAAAACTCTCACCTTCCTCCTATCCTCACCACGCAAAAGTGAATACCACCCCCCTCACTCCCCCTCCCCTCAACATTCACATCTCACCCTCCCCAAACCGCACATTCACCACCCCCCATCCCCACAACAACGACCACTCTCAACAAAAAAACAATGAATCACAACACCATCTTCATCTTCACCTGCGTCAGCCTTCCGAATTCGGAAGCTTTTCCTATTGTTGCTCTCGCCAATTGTCTATAAAAACAACCAATCTTCTCTCCTTCATTCGATTCAACTACTCACCCACGACAGACCTCGATCTATCAAGATCTCCTGGCTTCAAAATCTCGATAGCTGGCTTTAATTGCTTCCACACCTTCAACAACCATCACACAACTCGCTCCAACCCACACAACCATCACACTCACCACCCCTTCCACACTCACACCACCCTTCAAAATGAAACTCTCACTCCTCCTCGCCCTCACAACCGCAACCCTCACGCTCTCCCTCGCAATCCCCAACCCAATCACCCGCTCCGTCGAAAAGGGATGTAAAGACTGCGGTTCCCCTTTCTCGACCGATCCATGTTGCGGGGGTCTTTTTGTTGGAGCTGAAGCTGAGAAGAGAGAAGCACAGGTGGTTGAGATAGCTGCTCGCTCCGTCGAGGAGGCTGATAAGGGATGTAAAGACTGCGGTTCCCCTTTCTCAACCGATCCATGTTGTTTCGCCAGACGAGCTGCTGAAGCAGAGATCGAAGCTCGTGAGGTAAATACCACAGAAGCAGCGAACAAGAAATGCAAAGACTGCGGCTCCCCCTTCTCAACCGACCCATGTTGTTTCGCCAAACGCGCCGCCGAAGCAGAACTCCAATCCCGCAACGCCGCCGCCGAACTCGCATACCGCACCGCCCTCGAACAAACCTGCAAGATCTGCGGCGGTCCCTTCGGCGGCTGGCGCTGCTGCATCCCCGCTGAGATCGAGACTCGCTCACCCACCCTCGAAGCGCGTGAGGCTCTTGAGCAAACCTGCAAGATCTGCGGTGGACCATTCGGCGGCTGGCGCTGCTGCGTCCCCGCAGAAATCGCCGAGATCGAAGCGCGAACAGAAGAAGCTGCTGAGATCCAAGCGCGTGAGGGGCTCGAGCAAACCTGCAAGATCTGCGGTGGGCCGTTTGGGGGTTGGAGATGTTGCGTGCCTGCCGAGATCGAAGCCCGCACCGCTGAACTCGAGACTCGCTCGTACGCAACTGAGCTGGAAGCGCGCGCAGCGCTCGAGAACACATGTAAGATCTGTGGTGGGCCGTTTGGGGGATGGAGATGCTGTGTACCTGCTGAGATTGAGACGCGTGAGGAGATGTGTCAGCGGGATCCGCAAGATCCTCAATGCTCCGACGGATCGATTTGAGAGTTGAGGGGTGATTGGGGGTTTTAGATTGGTGGGGTGATGAGGTGATGAGGTGATGGGAATGGAGTTGATGGATTGGAGATTGATGGGGGATATACCAGGAATCCGTTGTTATTCCAAGCTTTGAAAGCAGAATCTTTAGATAGAAAAATCTTTAGTGTAGGAGACACTTACTTACCTACACTCGTTAGAGACTTGGGAAGGTTGGTGTGATCTTAAAATCAAAAATAACTTACTATCAAAGTCATCCATCCTTAGTGCCATTACTAATGTTCTTCAGAAAAAAGGTGTCGTGAACTCACTTCCCTCCTTTCCCGTGGCTCGCCACACCACACTTGGCACATCGAGTCAGATTAAACATGACTTGGTGTGGAACGCCACTCGGCAGTTGTCTTTCACATTCAAAAAAGTCATTAGTACTCCGTAAATATCTTGATATTCATATGGTACTACCAAAAATCCATCTCGACTAAATCAGGGTATGTCCCAAACTCCCAATGATCTCCACCCTCATTACCTCGTGACACATCTCAAAATCTCCCTTCCGCATATCCGTCATTACATCTCACTTGTTTCCCTAAACAACCTTCTCCACACCCGTACTAACAGCCCTTGTATCCTCCTCACTCTGATTCCACACGTCCTCCTCGAAATGATAAAGTTCGGGACAAACCGCGCCCTTTCGCATGAAGATATAGCGACGAACCCACCACGGCAGCACGGTGAAAAGCTGGTAACTAGCATGTTTATGGATCGGGACACCAAACACGTAATCCAGCTGTTCGAGGGAGCGCTGTTTAGTCTCGTACAGACAAAGGAAGATCATCATGAAGGCGAGGGCGTTCATGCCGGCGTAGAACCCGAAAGCACCTTGCACGCCGAACGCGGCGAGTTGGCGAGGGAACGTGAGAGATACAACAGTGGCCCAGAAGTTGTTTGTGGCGACGGCCCATGACATACCGATTTCACGATGGCTTAGCGGGAAGACTTCTGCGGAGTAGGTGAAGGGAACAGGACCTTCTCCGGGGCTGTAAAACGCGTCGTAGACGTAGATGAAGAACGTAACGAGGCCGAGATGGGCGCGACTTGAGGAGGGAATATAGTAGGACATACCGGCTGCGAGGAGGGTCCAACACATGTTGGGGAAGGTAAAGAGGAGGAGACCGCGACGGCCAAAGGTATCGATTGTCCAGACGGCTGGCCAGGCGAATGCGAAGTTGACTAGACCGAAGCCGAAGGAGGCGAGAAGGGCAGTGACGTTGTCGGCGCCGGATTGTTTGAAGATCGTGGAGGAGTAGAAGGCAATGATATTGACTAGGAATAGTTAGCAAGGAAAAATGTTACGAGGGTTGTGCTATAACAGAAATGGAGTGCAGGATTTTGTACTTACTTCCGCACATCTGCTGAGCAATCATGACTACACCTGAAGCCCAAGTTGCTCTTCGAAGACGTGGAATGGTGAATAGTTCGATGAACCGAGTAAACATGTTGCTTGTCTTGACGAATCCAGCTTGCTCAATCAACTCTTCCTCATAGACGAGTTGTGCGTTGATAAAGTAGAGATCTCGAGCAGCTTGTAGTGGAGAGCTTCGAAGCTTGAGAAGTGATTTGTAGGCCTTTGCAACACGCTTCTTTTTCATCAGCCATCTTGGAGATTCTGGAACAAACCAGATACCCAGAACAAGAGGAATTGCCGGCACAAATGCAGATGCCAATTGAAGTCGCCATGCAATCTTGCCAACATCAACAAAGACAAGATTGGCACACGTGCCTAAAAGAATACCAAAAGCCGTCCAAATCTGCCAAGACATGACCAGGCCACCACGAATATTTGTAGGAGCTACCTCTGCGGAGAAGACAGGCACTGTGACTTCCTTCAGACCCATTCCAAGGCCGAGGAGAACACGACAAGCGACCAATTGTCCCCATGTTTGGGAGACACCAGAACCAAGGGGAGCAAGGACAGAGAAGATGGCGGCAACAAAGATGGTGCCACGACGGCCGAGATATTCGTTTACAGGATCAGAAATCCACGCAGCGCTATGATTATTAGCAGATACTTTTAAAAAGGACAATCCACTTACAAGAGACAGATAGCGATGTATGGCGAGGAGTTGACAAAACCGACTAGCCATTGATTTTTGTTACACTCGGACGCCGACATACAACCCCCAAGACCCAATGGATTCGGGTCAGGTGGTGGAGCGTCAGGAATGCCAAGCGCAAGACCAAAAGTCAAGTTTGCTCCATTCGAACCTGATGGCAGTTAATATGGGATTTCATTCGTGTGGGCGTGATCAAATTACCTGTCTGATCCCAACCTTGAATAGCAGCCGCAATGGAGTTTAGGATGATGGTCAGATATAGAATTTTCGGGTGCTTCCATTTGTGAGTAGCTTCCTCACTCAGTACACGGCGATCTTCGTCGTCGAGTTCGGGAATCTTGTCGGCATGGGCGGGGCTTTGGGCGACAAGTGCCCCTTTGATGAGGTAAGGCTTGATGTCCTGGAGTTCATATTGGTTGGCGAAAGCTTCGACGTCTTGCAGTAGTTGGTGTTTGGGTATGCCAAGAAGAGGATTTTTGATTCTACAATTCATCAGCAACGGAAGAGTCACGCGAAGCAATACAGAATGTTGTGACCTACTCTCCGGTGGTATTGTCAGTCAAAGCTGCAACACTCGACTTGCGACGCGAATTCGGATCGGCGATCTTCTCGTCGTGAACTGTAGCACTGTGCATGGGATGTGTTAGCCAATGCGCATAATCAACATCGCCGTCGCGTGGGATCTCATGGTTCAACGTACCCAGCCACAACAGGTTCTGTTTTGATGTCGGCCATGATGGCGACGATGATATGGGGATGTTGTCAGCGTCAGACACGGGAGTAATCAAGAGGTGCTGCCAGAGCGATGAGAATCTCTGAAGGTGCAGATACAATCGAAGTCAAGCTATGATTCTGGGGGGGAAGCCAGGTTATATATTGTGGTGGGGGGAGCTCGCCTTCACCAATAATTCACCGACCATCATTCACCTGCACACAGCTACCCCTACCTAGGTAGGATTCATCTCTCCATCATTGGTAGATGCGACCTCTCTGCGCTTGGCCCATGAGGGGTCACAAGTTGTGTAACGTTTTTCAATTTCCGACAATAAGATGCCAGGTTGTTGAGCAGACTTCGGTGAGACCGAGAGGTACCAAGCACGGGATCGTGCGTGATCACCGCAGAAAGGTCAGTCTCGAGGCAAGGAAGGCACAGGTTGGTGTGATGAGGATATCAACACCAACCGTGGCCAAGAGTATATTTCAGATTTGGCTCAGATATGACAGTGGCTTGCGCAGAGACCAGTAGCAATGGGGAGGGCCACCGCGGTCAATGCCCGTCCAGCTACCCCGCATCCCCATGTCAGTCACTAATGCAGATCCTGGGGTAGCTGGCCTGCCCACTTCCTTCGATTATGAATGGATCGTTCGGTCGAGAAACGAATCCGGAGCTCTACAAAAAGCCTCAACTTCCTCGCCATGGACATATGAGTAAGCCAAGAAGGGATGGCTTGAATTATCCGGCCGAAAGACTTCCACCAGCAAGCGCCACCAGCCAACACAACGAGAGAATCTCAAATATGGCCGCCACAAAGCGCATCAAGTCAGCCAAGCGAAGACAAGATGTCTCCCAAGCAACGGCGAACTTTCTTCGCTGAGCTTCACGTAGCTTAAATGCACGTCAAGCGCTTGGTCACGCGCCTACCATTCACCAACACGCTCTGAGCAGGGTACCATTCTTGCTGCCTTGAGATGGGGTTTCGGCTTTTACGATTATGGAAGCCACAATGAGCTGTTCTGTCGGCGTTGTTGCGGCTTAAAGTATGATTCCGAGTGAATGGCTTGATGATGGCTTACTGGTGTAATGGATTAAACTTCGAATGGCTTGAATGCCGTGGATTCGAATGGCGCAAAGCTGTATTGGCGCTCGGTCTAGGTGGTACAAGTATTGTTGCCTTGAAAATGTGGACTGGCGGGAAGTCTGAATCAAATAGAGCGACAGAATATTGATGTTTTGATGGAGCAAAAGAGCCTTTTTCGAGTGTATATTTCGACAAGTGGGAAATGTTGCTTTGGCATACTCCACTTAGTCGCCTTCATAGAAACTGAAGGCGCATAGGATTTGTTACTCTTGTTGGGAATTAACTCGGAAAGAATACCGAATCTCATGAGTAACCACAAGCTCGCAACTTGGCGACAGTCGACAAACATTTCTGTGGGAGACTATTTGGAAGCTGGCGAGCTTCTCCACAAGGGTTGATGACTGTAAGCATTTCAGAAGTAACTCCGAACTTTGCTAGCTATTGACAAGATTGGTAAGAAACCAGGCCAGACTTATCGAATGTTGCTGATTGTGTTGTTGACCTCTTACGATACCCAACTTGCCTCTCGGATTCCTCGATTCGACAGATGACCGCAAAATTCTTCTCGAGATAACCGAGCTTACTGGCGAACCCCCCGCCTGCCACTTTGAAAGGTGTTTCTTGATCGATGTCGGGTGGAGAACACCACAGAAAGAGACGAGCATAAAGTCGAGCAACTGGCTCTATCAGTTTCTCACTGAACGGGCTCAAACGGCTCCTTTCAGTACAGATTGGTACAGCTATGGGACCGTTGTGTACCATACTCGGTGCTACTTCTATCTCGCATTGGAATTAGTCGTTTTTCCTGTCGTTCTCATGATCACTCATCTTGGTAATCACCGTCATTGTTTACTGGGTCGTTGGATGTTGACTCTCAGCAAAAGTAGGCTTGTCAGCATGACGCTGGCGATGGGTATTTCCCTTCAGCTTTCGAAAGACATTCTGCGCCTGATGTAATGCTGTCACGTCGTCGTGAGGCAGATACAGTACTCGCAATACAATCTGGAATTTTGGTATGTTCATGGCCAGGAGCTTTCAATATCTTGAGCAGCAGATCGCTTACATCGTTTCGCTCGCGAATCGACTTTGGAAAGCTCCCAGGTTGTCCTTGATGTTTACGTACGAAACGGATGCCGGTGCAGAGAACATGGATGGCATGCAATTGCTCGAAATGCTTCCCCGATATGCAGTTGCTGCTCATTCCGGATGGCGCATTGCTGGGGTGGTGGGCTTGATGCTGCACCTTGCGACAATTCTGACTGCCACGACTGGCGAATGTGGAGGTGAGGAAAGTGATATTGAAGATTCAGATTGACTTGGAGGTTTATTCGACACTGACCATAATTCGAGGAAATGCTTCAAGTATCCATGAGACTCAAAGTGCACAATCTAGTTGAGTAAATTTGGTTGTTGATGGGAAACACCAGAGCGGGGCAAGCATGCATCCCTCAGGCGTCGAGTTCAGCCAGGACATCATGCGTCTTCGTTCTCGTCGCATTTCGACAGCCCATATCGTAACTTCCTCCTCGATTTTATCATCAATGCATCATCCAGAAAGCTACAACCAAGGCACAGCGTATTCTCGATCTCTCAAGTTTACTAAACTTAGACATCATGTCACTCGCTGACGAGCAACAACCCAATGGCGCGGTTTCAATGTTTAAATCTCCTGTGCAGAATCACTCT